AATATAAAAGAGTGATTTAAATATACATCGACAATTTCTCTGCCTTTCACCAATGTTTTTTTCGAGTTGTCAGATACTTTTTCCAAAATAATATTATTATCACTATCTTGATAAATGAATACACCATCATCACCACCTGAATAAGAAAAATAAGCACAAAAAAAAAAAATTTTTTTTAATGCTTAATTGATGATAAAAAAAGAAAATTAAAATAATTAAAGAATAATTGGTGTACCAGCAGAACTCCATTTCAATGCAGTCCATTGGGGATAAAAAGTTCCATTGTATATATCATCAAATTGTATACGATTTGATAAAGTACTCGAAGAAGAAATATTCTCAGTACGATAAAGTTCGTGTATGATTGTCCAACTGACCCACGCGATTATAAAAACAGCGGTAATGAGTAGACATGGAAGAATTGATCTGTCGTTTTTCTATATAAAAAATTATAATTTGATGTAATAATAGTTGATTTGAAAGTAATTAATATATAAGCCATAAATTATCAACTCACGTTATTCTTTGAATAATCGGCACCGTTCCAATTTTCACCCATATCAACTACAGTATCGTCTTCCCCTCTTTCTTTAAGCATAATTTCATGCTCCTCTTCTTCCATTGCTCCATAAGTGTCGTCTTCAGGCTCTGGTGGAGAATCAGTCCCTTGCACCCACAAAGGTACAGAAGTTTCACCAGGCTCACTCACAACAGTACTTTCATTACGTTCATTATCAATGTCTTTTGAAGGTACCGAAGTATATTCGCTAATTCTCATAATTCTTGTTTGAATTTTTACAGTAAGTGAAACATGAATGGGTTGCAATAATTTTTTTTTTCAAAAGATAAAGGCTACTAAGCCACTTCTAAGCCAGTCGGTCTTTGTTAAGCCAACTAGTAAAGAAGCTTGTTCTTATAACGAGTTTAAAACTAGTTTAAATGAAGATTGAGATTTTTTACACTATATAAATATTACTCGTGAATTTATTAGAATATTTCCTTATTAGTTTTAGAAAATAAATTGATATATCTGTATGACAAAAAATTTGAACAATTATCGTTATCACTATAGAATTTTATTATACATTATACGTATATTAATAAATTAATTATTATTATTTTTTTTTATGTATTAAGGAGAAAAAAAATGAAAAAAGGTTAAAAAAAAAAAAACTTTAAAATAATAGACCATTTCAAAATACATAAGAATTTGCCGGGAGGACACGTACGTGTAATTTGTAGGTTTTGTATAAAAAATCCGAATTAGTTGAATTTCTAGATTCGAACAAGCCGCGAATATGAAATGACACGATAGTAACACAACAATCATCGTAAATAATTTATACGTATAGCTATAACGGAAGGAAGCTTAAAAAAAAAGTTGCCACACATATAACCTATAAAAAAGTTACAGGTTACGATGTGTCCACGATCATCGGAAATAATTAAGGTTTCATCATTGATATATCATAGATCATAGTTCCTGCATTTATACTTAAAACCATTTATTCATTTAATTTTGGATAATATTAGCTAACAATGACCCTCGACAAACTATTTTTGCGAGCAATCCTTGTATGATTTCACCATAATTGACATTTAAAGGAGTTAATAACAATTTTATAAACCGAAATTTCATGTGTGAAAAAAAATATAAAATTTTGTACGAAATTTCACAATATTGCCATAACTGGCAACTTCAAAATTATTATTTTTTCATGTGTGAAAAATATAAAATTTTGTTCCAAAAATATCTACATTTTGGATTTTATAAATTTCTCAGCTACTCATACTAATTTTGTAAGTTATACGTATAAAAATTACACGGATTTTAGGACTATAAAGACATCATGGATAGGTTCATGCAATATACGATATTACATAAAAGAATATTTATTATTATTATTTAAATATAAAGATTATAAAGAAGCATATTTATTACTACAGAAAGATTTCTCTAAGTGCATTCTTTTAGAACCTTAGTTGGACATTGCATGTTTAGTGTGCATTTATTAGAGAATGCATTTTAGAGAGGTCTTTTTGTATATAAAGTTGTTGTCCATTGTTATAGTCGATCATTGTTAAATAGTCGATCATAATTAAACGTACATGGTACGTACGATATAGTATCCCCTATTAAGACCCGAGTGTATATTCGATATCGATTACTTTTTCATAGTATTCAGTTCCATACAAAGTACTAAAATTGCATACCAGTAATAAGATTTACGATGGATGCCTCATCATATAAGTATATAGTAGGAAATATAAAATTAAAGATAAATATGGATCGGACGCATTAAAATATTTTCTAAAATTGAAAATTTCTTCTTAATAAGTTAATAAAATATGGTCTAAATAATGAATCTATATGAATTATTTATTTAATATCATTAATAAAAAAAAACATACATACATTTAAATAGTTTTTGATAAACTACGTATTTAGCTTTAAATAACATAAAATAGTTGATAAAAAAATTTCAACACTATTATAAACAATTTGATGTGATTAGACCATTCGCACCATATTACTTTTAAAAAATTATGCTAAATTACATTTTATTATGTCAACTCAATTGTTAGATCGAACCATTTTTCATTTCCTATCAAATAAATATATATAAAATATATATATATATAATTAACAATATAATATTTATATAATAATGAAAAAATTCCTCAAAAAAGATTAAACCTACCATGAACAACCTTACTTTCACCTTTTAAAATAAATCCAACTTTTTGATATAACGGAATTAAATATTCATGACTTATCAATGCAATCCTTTCATATTTTATATCCATATCTTTTTTTTGTGATTCATTTCGTAATCTTGTGATATATTCTTTTAACATACCAAGTGCAACACCACACCTTCGATATA